GAGGGGAGCCCGCGCAGCCAGCCGGGGCTGGGCCAGCCGGAGCCCCGCGTTGCAGCCTCTCCTCCCGTCAGGAGTTGCAATGTGCTAGTCTTGTCTTTCAGACAGTATTTTTATGTGAGCTGATGGTTGCCAGGGTAACGGAGGCTTCGGGGAGTCTCGCGCCGACGCAGCGCCCTGGCCTCGGCGAGCACTGGGAGCAGATGTTGGCTGCGAGCTGGGGAGCCGGGCTGCCAGCGAGGAGAGGAGCGGCACTGCCAGCAGCCGCACATGAAGGGAGCTGGAGAGAACAATTTGCCTGGCTGCACTCGGTGCAAGAGAGCAGGTTCAGGGCTCGCTCTCTCCTTCTCCCTTTTTTGTTGTAATTTAGTATTCTTGTCTCACCCCACAGGGGTTCCTCAGCCGTCGGCTTAAAGGCTCCATCAAAAGGACAAAGAGCCAACCGAAGCTTGATAGGAACAGCAGTTTCCGGCACATTTTACCTGGCTTCAGGAGTGTGGACAATGAAAGGTAAGGGGACGTTTCTCGGAGGGTGGGGAGGAGGGTGTGTGAGAGAGAATGAGGATGTTGATCTCTCCAGGTCTTGTTAATATCTTGCTTATCTTATTCAGAGCAAGGGCCACATCTGTGATAGAAGTAGACTTGCTTAATTGCAAGAGGGGTGATTTTAATTTGTTGGCGAGTATACAGTGCAAGCCCTCCCTTTTTAGGTTAAATAACATGTACAGAGAAGCCCGACTGCTCTGCTTTCTTTTCCCCAATAAATCCTAAGTTGATGCACCAGCATATAAATAGCACATAGATGCAGCAGCCAAAGCCGACTGATGCAGGTGAGGGAGGGAGGGGAGGGATGCTCACGCACTGGACTACATTGAACATTACTGGGTTACACGTTGTATGAACAATAACATAGAACAATGACAACCATAATCTCCCCAAATCCCTCTCTCCCCCTTCCACACACATACATCTTCAGCATAGCTGTTGACTGCTGTCATTATACTGAGATGGATTCTCGGCATGTGGCCGAAGCTGCTTTTTCTGTCTGAGCCATGACAGGATCTTTCAGTCCAGGAGGGATGTGTTGCAGGGAATGTGCAGATTGATCAGAGGATGACATGGGATGGCCAGTATTGGAGCAAATTGCAAACAAAATAAAGGGGAAATGAGACCTTGGTTTTATTCTTCAGCTCAGTTAGAAAGTAAAGTAGCTCTTTAGTGGATTTGTATGTATTTATGTACATGTAGATTTATGTCAGTGTGTGCATGAGACAGACATACATTCTAGGTAAATTTATGTGTAAATTCACATGCAGATCAAGGTCATGGTTGGGCAAGACAAACTCCATTACCAACCACAGAAACAAACTAGTGGTTTGCTTCTAAAAGGAAGATCTTTCAACCTTACGTGAATCATTCTGGGGAATGACATAGAAGTGTTGAAGTGCCAAGAAAAGTCTATGTCTGAAAAATACGCCAAATTGGACATACACTGATGTAACCATTTTGTAGCAGTGGCATTTTAAAATATCAAGACGGTACTTTAGAATCCACTGAGTAAATGCTTCACTTTTAAAAGCAATGACAACTTTTACTTTGTTTTAGCTATACTTATTCATTGGAGGGGCCGTGAATTTCTGAAGCCCACAGATGACAATTGTCAATCTGGATTTTTCCTTACCTGACCTGATACAGCCTCCTAAGCTTTTTCCTTCTGGATTCTGCAAGTAAAAGGATTGTGCTGGTCAGTGCAGTGTAATATTTCAGGGGTTACTATCCGGGAGGACAGAGTTGATTTGATTCCTATGCTGCAGTTTTCACAAACGCTCGAAGTAGGGCACTGTGTTCCGTACGGAAGACAAGCGAGTGTAGCCGGGCGGCCGGGAATCTGCCTACACTGCTGCTGCTTCACTCAAAAACCAGGCAAATTAGATAATGTTTTCTTTCTGCCTATATCAGTTTTGTTTCTTTCTGTGAACTGGCAGTATAGGACATGGGAATTAACTGTTTCGGCCAGCCCTGCAGCCAAAGTAATTTTCCCAAATTAAGCTTCGTAATTTCCCTGCCCTGCCAGCGCAGGAGCCCTGGAGCTTGCTGGGCAGTGTCCTTTCAGACGGAGCCAGATTTACTGCAACTTTTCTTTAAAGAGGTTCAGTGAATGGCTGTAGTGCATTTTCAGCGTAGAGCTTAAAGGGTGGGTTAGAGGAGAGGTAGCATTCGGCAGCCTTGAATAAAACCCAAGGATTTGCTTATATGAGCATTCAGAAACTGAAAATGAAGTCTTCCATTAGGCAGGTATCACTTGTAAATACACTTCATCTATGATACACAGACATGCCCTGATCTGGAGGAAACTGTCTGACACTAGGTAGCTTTTGACAGCAAGCTTTTAGTCCCCTAGCTTTCATAGTAGTGTCAGATCTATAATGTAAGCAAGTATCCTTCTGCAGAAGATCTTGGCCTTAGCTACTGTTGCTCTCGGAGAGGTGAAAGAAAAGCGGCAGCTGGGCTTCCCAGTCATGCGTAGGTTTTGGTTACGGAAGATAATTTTATCTTCCTGAACGTTCCCATCTACGTCTGCTAAAATGCACAATGCACTCACTTCTGTACGTGAAAGGGCTTGAGTCTTTTAGATCGCTCTCATTCATTTTCTGCTGTGCTTCCTTGTCTTTCTTGAAATCCAAGAACTGTTTCAAAGAAGCATCTGGTGTCGGAATATTTGCCTCTTAAATACTTGATTCTTGACTCCATCTTGCATCCAAGCTGATTGTTCGCGAACTGCTCCTTTGCTCATGGAAGTAATCATTATAGCAGCGTTCTGTTCTGGAGCTTTGTAGAATTTTTGCGGGAGATGCCATAGCAAAAATGAATAGTGCAATAAATGCAGTCACAACACTCCAGGTTGAAATACTGAGCTATAGTAGATCATAAATGATTCTGTTACTTGGCTTCTGTGTATCTAAATTGGTACTGTGTCATGCCTCTCAGGTTTTTTATTTTTCCTTTTCTTGCATGTCCTGTTTATCCTGCTATGTACAGCGGATGCGTATGAATATATGAAATGTGCACATACATGTACAGACAGCTAACTAGGTGGACATGGCATGTATGTAGAGCAGAGGAGAGAATATAAACAAACATATCTCTGTTTTTTATCCCGTGTTTGATTAATGCATGCATTTAAATACATTATGTAAATTTAAAACGGAAAATTATTACCTCCTACAATAGTGAGAAATTTGTACAGTGTGAGTTTTATAACAAAAGAAAACAAGGAAATGTCTTTAAACATTGGAAAAGTCACAGAATGTCTCGCTGGCATGAGCTCAGAATTGCCTTGTTAATTTTGTGCCAGTGGAGTCTGGTTTTCATACCTTGCATTGGCACACAGAGAACAGCCAGGTTTCCAGTGGAGTCTTGCAGAGCTGCCCTTATAAAGCGTGGTTACTGCGTCCTGGGGAGGAGCTGACAGCTCTGAAATGTGCGGGGGGAGTTTCTTTGTCGAGTTGACGTGCCATCTACCAGGGTCCCATGTCCATTGCCAGGCAGCTGTTTGCAGTTCTGCCATGGCGTGTGCGTGTATGTTCGGAGCAACTATGACAACTTAGAGAATTCTGGTTTAGTAAAACCTTGGCCAACCATTTTTTCTCTATAAGGAACATCTGAGGAATTGCTCAAACTGGTGTGTTAGAAAAATACACTGATTATAGTCAAGCAGAGCTTATGTTTGTAGAACAAGCATGGTTGTTTCTCATGGTATTGGATTTTACTCTGACTGAGAAGAGACCTTTTGTTTGAAAAAAGGTGGAATAAGGGGTTTGCACTAACTTCAGTAAATTACTGTGGGGTTCACATTGATGTAGTTGGCCAAATTTTGCCAGTCTTTTACATACTGATTTTTTTCTAGGAGTCCTGTTACAGTAACACTAATAAAATTATTGATTGTGAATAAGAGAAGCAAAGTCAGACCAAGTATAACTAGTATTCTGTATGAGAAGTGCATTAATCTGGTACAATCAGTTTATCTAAATGTGAAATTTAAAGGAGGATTGTGGAACGAGTGCTCCTTTCAATCTGTTGGCTGGTCAGATTGCTTGTTAGAGCTAAAAAGGGTTCCGTTGAAGTGGCTTTTTGCTAACAATGTCTCCTGCATCCTGATTTATTACAGCAGCTAACAAAGTTTTTATCATGGAGCGCTGAATGTTTGTCTTTGTAGCGGCCTCTCTGGAATCAGCCACAAATCAAGCATTTGGCAGATGGATTTTTCTTAATTGGACCCACATTTCTCCTACAAAATTTGTGATGAAGAAAGTTTCTGGGCTGGGCTTTGGGCACGGGGAGTGGAGCCAGAGAACTGAGAGAAGGTTATTCTGCTGCAGTTGTTAATTACTGTTGTTAGGGCATTTCTGATTGTTTTCTTGTTGTAGTGACCTTTTCAGTCACTGCTGTCACTTCGTTACAGTAATCTTTTAAAAATAATTTCTGACAGTTTGTCAGGAATTTAGAAACTATGTTTATATGGGCGTTGGGTTTTTTTTTAAATCTGAATACATGAACTTGGTCCTCCGAAACTGGCAAAGGCTGCCGTGATTTTACACTAGCACTGAGATGGCAGGGACACAGTATCACGTCGTGGGACAAATACCTTCAGACTGTCTTGATTTGGTGGAAAATGGGTACTCTGTGTAACTCCGTATTCTGATGTAATCCCCGAGTTGATCATTCCTAGGGACACTTTTCCTCAGTGCACCTAGAATTCATTTAATGCTGAAGGACTCTCAATTACTAACATTTGTGATTATTTTGCAAGGTTTTTTTCATAATTCCAGAAGATAACATTCTAGTTAAGCTTTTTCTTGGCACTACAAAAGTCTGAGCATATGGTTGATTGTTAAATGAGCCTCAGCCTTGGAAGGGGTACAGCCCTGCATTAATAACAGCAACGATTTCACTACTGCTGCTTCCTCTTTAAACTACTTTTTTTTTTTAATCCCATAAAAAATTTTTGCCTGTAACCCACAGAGGGAAGAGGAAGTGTACAAGTCATGTACTGCAGTGCATTTAATTCCTGATCTAGTGCTAATGCAGTCTGCTGTATGGGTTTTCAAATGTTCATAAAGCTTATTTTGATGCAATAGGAGAGCATCAATAACTTATGAACGTCTGTACTCTTACAGTAAACTTAGTTTGTGAGTTCTTTTTAGATCTAATTATCATTTGTTTATTCCCAGCAAACTTGATATGCCATATATTTTTAGGCATGATTAAATTGGTTAAGTTTGATGAGAATGTGGTGAGTGCTGCTTTACAAAGGATGAAGAAGTCGCTCTGTTTCCTTTGGAAAGAGGAATGACTCATCCTGCAGAACTAGGACATGGGCAGACCCCAGAACGCATGAAGGGCTTTCAGATCTGTGTGAACAAGTGCTGGAGAGCTTGCTTTCTCTTCTGCCTCCTTACTTAAATGGCATTAGCCAGTGAAACTTTCTAAGTAGGAAGACTTACAATAGT